GGACTAACAGGGTTTACTAGAATCCCACCACTCTACCACAGAGTCACCGCAGTAGACGTTAGATGAGCACTGTCGCTCCGCGGCACTTGTATCAATATAATAGGTTAGGGTTATGGTTAGGGTACAGGCTACACAGCCAGTACAGGCTGTAGCGGGAGCGAAGGGTTTACACCGGTCGGGTAGAGCTAGACCGCGCGTGGATTTAACGTGTAGTAAAATCTGCCTCGGTCAGTGTAGCTGAAGGGGTCATTGTCGTATATGTAGTACCCGAGGTGTCGGCGAGTATGTCGCCTACGCCTACTCCCTAACCCTAACCCTAACCCCCTAACCCTAACCCTAACCACATCAGATAGTTACCTCGGGTAGGCCTACATATTATACGCCATTCGACGACTACGACCCTTCGTGCCACAGGCACTTGGGACAGAGTCAGTAAAAACTGAAAATAATATGAACGCACATTCACAAATGCCGTAGGCCCTACCTCTCAATTACAGTTCCACTGTTGTGTCACTGTATATCAACTTTCCTTCATAAAAACTAACGCCGAACGCTCCCGCACTCGCCGCTGCGAGTGTGCTGTGTCGCCATGATAATGATAATATATAAATTATCTATATATATATATATATATCTTTATATATATATTATCATTATCATGGCGACACAGCACACTCGCAGCGGCGAATGTGGGAGCGTTCGGCGTAAGTTTTTATGAAGGAAAGTTGATATACAGTGACACAACAGTACGTGGAACTGCAATTGAGAGGTAGGGCCTACGGTCGTATTTGTGAATGTGCATTCATATTATTTTCAGTTTTTACTGACTCTGTCCCAAGTGCCTGTGCTTCGTGCGTCAGTGTACCCCCACATTTACAAAAGTGACGATATGGTGGTTTAAACGCTCCTCTGAGTTTGACTGTCAGTGCTCCCATATATAAACACGTGTTTGTACGTGTGTTTGTATATATCTATGTAGATACAATAATGTAACCCTATACCCAACAAGAGTAGTCTACTCTTGTTGGGTTACATTATTGTATCTAATATCTATGGTGCTATGTTCAGTGCTACTAGTTTGCTATAGTAGTTATAGATTTGGATTTAATTAGTACATTACGATTAGCAGTCAGGGTTAGGGTGCTGTACTATAAGCTCTATATTTCGCGTACAGATATTTTCGAGAATTCACACTTGACGGACAATTTCGCGAGTGGTTAATTTCGCGGTTGGTGAATTATGAATTATTCGGTATTAATCGGTATGAGTTATTCGCGTGTTGTTATTTTCTCGGTCGGGGCGCGTTCGCGAAATTCGCGAAAATTAAACCACCACGAAATATACAGCTTATATACAGTATTATTAAATTACATATAATGATATACGTTATTTATCCGTTCGATTTCATTCATACCTCAGTACCTGTCACATATTTTAAATGTTTAAATATAATTGGCCTAACTCTGTTGCAGCATCTCAATGAAGAGTTTAGTGAAAAGTGCCTGCTAGAGCTTCCGTGGCACATCGTGAATACGATCTCTCTCTACGAGCGGATGGACGTGTCGTTTAATAGGCTCTCCTTCCTACCAGCTGAGATGCCACTCCGCATTCCCCACCTTAGCTATCTGAACGTTAGCTATAACCAGCTCACCGATCTGCCGAATAGTTTCGGCCTCTTCTTCCACCTGAAGACGTTGCTGCTCGCTAACAACAAGCTCGCCAAACTTCCATCGTCGTTCACGCGCCTGTCGAGCCTCGAGAAACTCGACCTGGCGCACAATGCACTGGAAGAGCTTCCCGATAGAATCGGCTTCATGCCGTCACTGAGAGCAGTGAACGTCAGTCATAATCGCCTGCGGCATCTGCCTGCATCGCTAGGCAGTGAAAACATGCAAGTGCTCCTCGCTCAAAACAACAGGTATCTCAATGCAAATCGTTAGCTGTATTCTGTAGATATTTCAGTGATTCTGAAGAGCAATGACATTGCAACATTGCGCTGCTATATATCGAACAGATATTCATCTGTGAAAATGATGAATTCTCTTCATTAATGTTTATCATTCATCGTGCTTTAATATTTGGCAGGAATAATTTTACACAATAGAAATAACTAGCTAGGTGTGTTTGTGTGTTTTTCATGCTGCTTTTCTATTGTACTTGTAGTTGTGATAACCCTCCCCAGTCTGTGTGCAATGAAGGCTCAGCAGCAACACTCAAGTGTCTTCGTAGATACCACATGAAGGATCCTACAAAGGAGAAGTTGGACAGGTAAAACACGTTTATACCTATGTGTATGTATACATGTTTTTAAAAGGTTGGCACATGTTTATAGGCATATATTTTGATATTGCCGTTTTCATTAGACGTCGTTGAAGCGGAAGAGTCACTGGGAGATCAGCAATGTAATTTGTTTGTGTGAATCCTGTGATGCTAATTTACAATGATAGCTACAGTATGCCGTGCAGTACTATTTTATGTGATTCCAGGTTGAATGTGTTTCCACGAGTCAGAGGCAACGTGCTGCAGTCGTCGGTGTCGAATCCCGACTCCGCACGAGCTCAGTACCTTCAGCTGCAGACTGCAACACTCAACACTGCAAGCCGCATCAAGACGCCACTTCTACTGCCACCTGGTGCCACTGTTCTTCCACTGGATGATCTAAGGGACAAGATATTAGGTAATAATTGTTGATTGCTATCTTCAGATTTAATGTCGTGTGTGTGCGTGCGTGCGTGCGTGCGTGCGTGCGTGCGTGCGTGCGTGCGTGCGTGCGTGCTTGCGTGCGTGTGTGTTTATGCAGCAGAGTTATTTAGCTGCGTGTGATACCTGCCCTCCTGGAAAATCACTCTGTGAAAAACATGATCGCGTGAGTATATCGCCATCACATTGGCTTGCATGTTTTATTTTTTTCTATTTATTTAGGGATGGTGTACGGAGCAGCCATTGGTGATGCCTTGGGCGTTGCTACGAAATTCATGGAGGCAGATGAGTGTCGATTTCACTACGACCCTGACACACTGACCTACGCAGACATTATCCGTGACAAGTACAGAGTGATGTGGAAGAAAGGGGACTGGTCAACAGACTTTGATCAAGTGGTGAGCATGCTGTCACCATCAAAGACTGACATGGCATTATAAAACGTTTTTAAGAATGTGTATGGTTACTAAAAAGCTTCTCTTGTAAAACAAATGTACTGTTTTCATGTATGGTTGATCATGCGAATGCACTCTGCTAATATGGAAATTAGTGATAAAGTGTATTATCTGAATCTTGATAATGTAGCTGTTGAAGCTAGGTTACACTATTATTCTTATATTTGTATCGTCTTACAGGTGCTAGTGTTAGATTCTATCATCCACTGGGCAGGGGTTGTTGATGAGCTAGATTTTGCAATGCGTCTGCATAACTGGACGAAGCATGGCTTTCCCGAGCTGGAAGACACTGAGGGAGTTGTAGTTAGCAACACCCTCGCTAAGGTAACCAAACCTTAAATAAGTCAACTGTTACTTAATAGTAATAGTTATGTAGAATATGATCTATGGTTATTCATGGTGTTTAATCAAGCAGTTGTAGTATTAAAATTAAGCTAACTTATGATAATACAGTCTAAAAGGATGTGTATATATATGCAATACTTACAATCATTTTTCCAAACCAGTGAAATAGGTATATAAAGTACAATTTTTGATAACCTGTGAATTCATGTCACAATCAAGCATTTTCTAGGTAGCTGCATATGAGTGCTAGTTTATTGATATTGCACTGAGTCGGACAGCCATCAACATTAACTAGTGATGCTTGATTTTTTAGGTGCTTCGAGATGAGAATTACTTGCAGAAGCCTCACATGGTGGCAGCACATGTTCTGGAGCAATATAATAATATGTCATCTACAGCAAATGGAGACGTGACAGTAGATACTAATCTAACAGACCTGGATGACAATGCTGCACTTGCTCGCAGCCTTATTTTAGGTCAGTTGTTTCTGGAATCACGTTTTTGCTCTATCTTTGTCTGGCTGCGATTGAAGTTCAATTTGTGTACACTTTAATTGTTGGGCAATATCAATTGATTACGTATACTTTTTTGGGTAATTACCTAATTAAGTGTAACAGATACAGTTTAACTTAGTACATATATAAGAACAAAAATTGGTTTACTCTATCAGTAAATAGATAAATAAATATATATATATATATATACATATATATAGTAATAATGTCTGTTTTAATAAAGATGTAGATAACCTAGTTACATAAACCTATAAGTAATCTTTTGTATATCGATCACTGCCCATATAAAACTTCTTATCTACCATCCATTGTAGGTATTCCTTATTTCCACAACTTGCAGGAGGTGACTGAGAACTGTGTGCGCATATGTAAGGCTAGTCATGCTCACCCGCTGTGCATCGCGTCGGCTGTCACCATAGCAGTAATCGTGGCCCTAATGTTACAGGTTAGTGCATATACAACCAGGTGATGCTACGTGTCATTGTCCCAATTATCATTGGGTGTTTTTGAAGCAGGGTGCATACTTTCTCGGTTTTGTCCACCAATGTGGGATCTTTGAGTTTCTAGCATCTGTACCAGACTAAGCATTTCACGAGTGGAATGAATAGCTTGAGTGTGTGTGCGTGCGTGCGTGCGTGCGTGCGTGCGCGCGCGCGTGCGCGTGCGTGTGCATGTGTATGTGAAGCCTATTTGCCTTGTTCTGTAATTTCAGGGTCGGCATGCAATGGACAGTTTGTCGTCGGTGGAAGAGCTGCTGTCACAAGCAAAGCACCATGGCATGCAGCAGTTGCAATCACCCAAACACAGGAGAGAGTACGAAGCTCATGCTAACATGAAGAGCTTGGACAGGTGGTGCTATTTAACAATCGTAGCCGTGTGGAGTATTGGGTTAACATAGCAACCGTTAACAAATAAGATGCACCAGTCGCGTTTTTGTTTACATGTTATTCAGAAATTATTCATATAGCTGTGTTAATAATATTATTTATTGCTATTTATACTATTTAATGTCCTAATATTGTAATTTTTTTGCCAGTTTGATTTATTGGAATGGCTATTTTTTCTACTAGTATGGTTAACACGAGAAATTGTGCTGTCACAAACAAAAGCAGTGATTAGTAGGTTTTTGAGAAACTAATGTAATTGTTTACTGAGTCATGGATGTATGCACGTTTACAGCGTGGACGTGACAGAGCCTGGCCGACAAAGCTTCACTCTCAAGCCCGTGGCAGCAGCGGTGATCAGTCTGCGCAGCCGGAAAGACTTTAGGTTCGTTGTGTTTCTCTCAATTTTTGAGGTGCCCAGCTGTGTTGCTGTCAAGCCCCTATTGAATTGATTTATATACCCGTAACACACGGTTTTTATAAGCAGCACTGCCTGATATCAACTTGACAAGTGTATGCTCCAGAGAAGCATTGGTCTCTGTGATATCTCACACGTGTAAACAGTTATTTGATGTAGGCAGTTCAAGTTATGTGCTCTCCATCAGATCGTTTAAAAGCATAATTATGGTGGTGAGGATATGTGTGCTGTAATGCAAATATGCAGGTATTGAACAGGTATTAGCAAAGTGGTCACAACACGAGTCATAAATTGCAGAATGTGCGAAAATGCCTGTAACGATACTGTGTGTATATTTCCCTGCTTATGCATTTATAAACAATCATCTCACTGTTAAATTAAATATTAAACCAGTTGTGTAGTGGATGTTTTTAGTTTTAATTGCTCCCTATATAATTTCTCACATAAATTACCTTTTATATATGTATGTTTAGCTCGCCTTGACATTGTCAAGATGAGCTATTTTCATGGGGTGTCGTCTGTCGTACGTCCGTCTGTCTGTCAGTCAACATTTGGCTACGGTCAATGATAGCTCAAGAACCGTTTGACCCACATGTTTCAAATTGAATACAGTTGTTACTCCTATGGGAGAGATTTGAACTTCCTATTTTGGAGCACGCCAGTCGACCTACTTTCGAGCCATGCCCACCTTTTGGCAAAAATGAAAATGGCCATCTAGATTCATTCAATTTTGTTAACCTTTGGTATATGAATGTGTAAGGCTAGCCCCAAAACAGTTGTTACTCCTATGGGAGAGATGACAACATCCTATTATGTTTATTTCGTCTAACTGGTTAACAACTCTACAATCATACATATATACGTGTAATATGGTGTTTTAGATTCTTTGTTACAGTAATTTGACTGGAATATTTTATTGTTTTTATTTGAGCGATATTCAAAAACCAAAATGGCGATCATTTAGGCATAGCGCCATCTCTCGTCAAGAGACTTTCAGATATGAAACATTTATTTTCGCATCAAAACTTATGCATATATCATTATCAAGAGTATATAAGGGGAGATATGCAGTATAATGGGAGTTCTCCCATTTATACTCTTGCTTTATATATCCCCCCTCCCTCTTCTATTACACCCAAGGTGAGCTACAGTGTCATTGACACTTTCATTTTAATTACAGGTCAGGACTGCTGGATGTGATTATGCGAGGTGGAGATGCCAACTGCAATGCAACTCTTACTGGGGCAATGCTAGGTTGTGTATGTGGGTACTCTAAATTGACAAAGGAATGGCTGACTGGACTACGCACCCAACAGCGAAGTTGGCTGGATATTAAGGTGAACCTGCTGCTTGATATGATGGGAATACCGTGATTGGGTGTTTCAGTAACCAACAGAAGGATGACATGCAATATTTTTAGCTCATCTGACATAGTCAGATGCAGCTTGTAGAATCGCATGATTGTCCGTGCGTCCGTCCGTCCGTGCGTCCGTCCGTCAACAGTTGGGCACAAATATAAACGGCTCGACGTACGGATTTGAAAGTCGGGACGTGGGGGGTAATCCGAAAACGAGTTGGAATGTCGAAGCTGGGGAGTCAAAGGTCAAAGGTCAAGAGGTGTAAAAGAAGGGGGAACATTCCCTCCTTAACTTAAGGTATAGGGAGGAAATTCAGAATTGCGTCACAAATCTAAACGGCTCGACCTAGGCTCGTGATAGTCGGTGTATGCATCATGGGTAGGAAAAGCCATCACTGTGCCGAAAATTGGAGGTCAAAGCGTCAATGGGGCACAGGGCAGATTTTAGACATTTTCTGAGGACATGGTCTGTAGGAGCGATTGAAAAACTTTTTTGTTTCAGCGGTGACCTACTATTTTTATGGCTTTATTGAAAGGACCATGAAATGTACTTTCCGCTGACATGCGAAGAGTAAGTGTCTGATAACCTTTTGACCCTCAAGAGTAGGGTTGAACATGGATTTATTTACTGTTAGAAAGAATTTCACTGCCGGGTTTGCTAGTAGAATCTATACATGCCTGGATGTATGAGGCTACAATGTCACAGTGAAATTTCAAAAGCTAAATTTGGTTGAAGAAGGTTTATGCTCCGTAAAAAAAATCGTAATTAAATCGTTTAAATCGTATAATTTCTATGGCATTCTGTACTGTCAGTGTGTTACATGCAACTTATGCCACTGCCAGTGCATGTGGTGGTGATTAAGTATGTGTTAGTTTTTGCCTGCGTTAATTAGTTACAGTTGGCAGCTCTCCATTTCAGCCTGTAGGCCGGCTTGCGTAGGTAAATAGATCAGTGCTTACCTATTCTGTCTTGCAAATAGTTGTTGCTACTACGTACGATGGGAGCTTCCATCTTTAATCTTAAGACACTTTAAACGTTATGCGCCATCTCGTGGCAACTTTCATAACGATCCCAACGAACATTCCTTCGAGAAGGTTCCTGATACCATTCCTGTGCCTTCCACTGTTTCGGCGCGTATGTGAAACACATTTGGGACTAACAGGGTTTACTAGAATCCACCACTCCACCACAGAGTCACCGCAGTAGACGTTAGATGAGCGCTGTCGCTCCGCGGCACTTAATTGTTTGGTACACTTGTTAATATGCAAAACTGAAACGCTTTTATTTATCTGGATATAGTCATATCTATCAGGTATAGTTTGATATATCAGTTGTCAAGGTGTTGGCAGGCTTTCACTCTCGCTCTTGTGAAATGTCTCAGAAAAAGACATTCATGGAGCAAATTTTGTTATGTGGAGGAGTAGTAGGAGAGAGTGGTGGACGCATAGACGATTCTTTTCATACGAGGTTGGGTTATTGAAAAATTCTTTTGCCAGTTTACTTATGTGCATATAAGAATGCTAGCTTGGCAGCTGAGAAACTCTGCAACTAGTTGGATTGAGACATGCAATTTATATCTGGGTGAATTGGTAACCCTTGCGTTGCAATATTACACTACCCATGTTGCAATAGGTGCTATTCGGTACCAGGATGTACCACCATAGATGCATGGTAACAGCTGTGTAACGTTGCAGGCTGCTGCCAACTCACATAATTACTATGCATTTTGACACTGCCCGGTAATTAATAGCAATCGATACACCAGTCTAAACGATATGGTCTGTATTTTCTGGTCTGACATTTGTCACAACTCCTGATATATATATATATATATATATATATAGATATATATATATATTATATGAAAATTTGTTTCATTTAAAACTTCATTATGATGCATAATGTTTAGGTCTATCTTTATATATCTTATTTTTTGATATGTGGTATGGTATTACCCTATTTTAAATGCTACATATGATTACATGGATCATTTTCTGTCTCCAGAGAAGCCATATACTAAGTGGTTCTCTTTAGAAGCGTTAGCTAGCGTACCCAAAGTGCCATTATGCCGAAGGATTGTTGCACGCCAAATTGATGCCGGCACACTTATTGCTGCCGACTGTTTTTTATTGCTATCGGGGATTGAGAGTCCCACCTATTGCCACGAGCATTATATATGTTATATTGTATATATGTTCAGGCTACTGCTGTTTATGGTGGCTTGTTCCCAATAAAATAATGGGAATTAAGATAAGAGTCCAAGTCTATTGCAGTTTTATTTCGAAATCTGATACTGATGATGTATTACAATTATAACGTATGTGCTATTATATATTAACAAGAGCTAATAATTACATGCTATTATTATTAGTTCTTTGATATATATTAGTTGGGAATTGGGTATACATATCATCAGGAGTAAGATAATATAGGGTACCTATATTACTTACTCCTGATATCATGTAACAAGATATAGCATGCAGCGAGTGTCCGATATCGTTATTTTTCTAACTTAATATTGGAAATTGTAATTGGAGAGCTATGTTTATGTAGCATTTACGACTATTCAAATTATTGTTTTTATTTACAATGATGTGCTGAGTTTCAGATCGCTGGATTATTTATTGGATTGATATTGGTGAATGTGTGTCGCACGTGTATAAAATAATTGTGGATAGGTAAAATAAAAAAATTGAAAGTATTACGATCCTGTTAAGAATTCAGAACATTCTTGAAGTCTTCTTAATGGAACACAGACGGAAGTTTATCTATAAAAGCTATTGTTTAATGTTATCAATCAGCAGTAAACCAGTTTAAATGCGAAATATTTTTGTGGTAACATCTAACATTACCTATTGCTTAGTGTTCATGTTGACATATATATATCAGGAGTAGATAATAGGTATTAATTCCATTATCTACTCCTGATATATATAGATATGTTCATATGAATAGTAGGGGAAACATAGAGCCACGCGGGAAGAACCCAACGGACACGATACTGTCATTCGAAACTGCCCGCAGGTCAGAGATTGAAGAAGGAACTTACTTAAGATATTCTCTTTACATCTTGCTTCTCGTGAAACAGTATCACAACTATAAACGGCTTCGTGTACGTTCTTCATATTCGTGATTTGATAAAAGGCATTCTCGGTGGTAAAAAATATTAGATATTATGGGTCAACGGCAGTCAGTGTAGCTCAAAGAAACTGCTATTTATTATAGTCGTTCAAACGACAGCAATGGCAAAGCTTCCTAACCACAATGCGTACTGTTTGTTATTCTTCTTGAAAGACCCAAAAATGCGAGGTTGCTAAACATGTGTCCGGTTTAGCTCACGAAGCACTGCATGCATGGTAGACAATAATCTTCTCATTTCGAAAACGAGTATGTTTCCCAACGACACCTTTCAATCCGCCTGGCATGTGTTTGATTATTTAGATTTTCGCTTGCATATCAAAACTACATCTAAATAATTTGTTTTTTATAGAGTAGGTACGTAGATACGTATTATGAAAGTATTATAGGCATAAGGTATTTATATTGTTATTTCAATTGGTATATAGCCACGAATAAATATTAAAGATGGTCTATATAGTTATGATATATTATATATAATATTGTTACAGGGAAATAATTATAAATTGGAATGTATAACTTGTATATTAAATTAATAATATGCATTAAATCTTTGGTCTATTTATTTTTAGCTGTAGGAACCTAGATGTATATAGCGTTTTATACTGAGTTTACTAAATATTTCAAACAGAATATAGCTTAGAACGCGCCCAGACGGCTCGTACGTAGCCTTCATGGTAAGGGCATTAGGATGGGTTTATAGAGCCAAGGGCGGTGGCCGGAAAGGTTTATGAACCACTGCTACAGACAATAGACTTTATATGAGTCTCCAAAGAGATATAATATATATATATATAATATCATATATATATATATTATATATAGTATATATATAGTTAAATTATACGTTGTAGTAAATGCGCTCTACCCTAACTAATTGGTCTAGAGATATCTTGCTATATGTTTAAGTGATGTTCAGCCTCTACGGATTGTATATGTTCATCTACACGGTGAGCACAATTAAGTCGGTCTTTAATCCTTACTAACTAGAATAGGCTCACTGTTGTCTGCAGTCTACGTAGGGCCGTTTCACATAGTGATCGCGTGACGTCTGTATGCAATCTCTGAATGCTCTCATTTACACAGTGCTCACAAGTGTCCGGACCTTGCCCGAGTCCTCCCGTAGAATGTGTATAAAGTTCTCCTCGGTCTCTGTGACTCATTCTTACGATGTTACCAACGCTGTCTCCAGTCGCCGAATGATCCATCTATAGAATGTGATCAAGGATTCAGTCTCTGCATCTCTCATCTATAGAATGTGATCAAGGATTCAGTCTCTGCATTCTTCATCTATAGAATTTGATCAAGGATTCAGTCTCCGCATCCCTCATCTATAGAATGTGATCAAGGACTTAGTCTCTACATGATTCATCTATAGAATGTGAGCAAGGATTTAGTCTCTGCATCCCTCATCTATAGAATGTGAGCAAGGATTTAGTCTCTGCATCCCTCATCTATAGAATGTGAGCAAGGATTTAATCTCTGCATTCCTCATTTATAGAATGTGATCAAGGACTTAGTCTCCGCATCCCTTATCTATAGAATTTGATCAAGATTCAGTCTCCGCATCCCTAATTTATAGAAAGTGATCAAAGTCTCTGCATGATTTATCTATAGAATGTGATCTTAGCTTCAATCTCTCTATGTCTCATCTATAGATTGTGATCAAGGCTTCCGTCTACCCATGATTCATCTATAGAAATAGAAGGTAATCAAGTCTCTGCATCTCTCGTCTATAGAATGTTAACAAGGTTGTCTCAACTCTCTCCTTGTTTCATGTCCATAGTGTTATCACTCACATCGCGCACGCATCCACGTGATGTTATCACTACTCCGTCTCTGTTTCAAATCTCTGTCTCAAGCATCTGCATGAGTGGACGGATCTACGCGATGGGCTCAACATTGTCAGTATCGTCTGCATGGTGAAATCCGCGTAACCGACTCTATAGCCTGACTTTAATTAATAAGTCCTTATATTCGCTAG